TCTGTGTCTGGCTGGTGAACACCTGCCTTTCAGGTTCTTCCTCCCAGTTCCTCTCTCTCCTTGGAAGTCCTGCCTATCCTCTTCTGCCTAGCTACTGGCTGTTCAACTCTTTATTTAACCGACCTGAAGGTGCCTTAGGTAGATGAGGTATAACAGACACATCTTCACAGTGTACAAAAAGATTATCCCACAACAAGAAACTGCCATATTAAAGTAGCCATTGTTGAGGGGACACACACACACACACACACACACACACACACACACACACACCATATATTCCATAGAATTTTCTTTTTACCTGAATAGAAAAGTTGTAAAAAATTCATCTCTATTTACTTTTATTTTTGCACTAAAAAGAATATAAGAGTTTATTCTGAGCCAAATATGAGTGACTATTGCCCAGCAACATGGATTCAGGTTGCCCCAAATGACATATTCCACCATGGAAGAGGTTATGCAGACTTTTATAGTCATTGAACAAATCAGTGCATTTACCAAATGCATTGATGGGGACATCAGGTGGGCAGGTCCCTCCTACAGGCTTCAGATACCATCTGATGACATTCTTAGCTTTGGAGTAGGTGAAATACTACAAAAGTTTTATCTGATAGTGAGAATGATGTTAGGTATGGTGGTAAACTGCTATGAAAGGGACCAAAGACAGCTGAGCAACTTTGGGATTGACTCTGGAGTATCCTAACTCTCCACGCTGTTCTTGTCACTCCATCTCACAATCTGTAACACAGATGTAGCCTTTGGGGGATTTCCATTCACAGTTGCTCCTCTTTGGTGAAGCATCATGTTTTGGGCATTTGAAAGCCAAACATTGTTTTGTGTCCCCACGTGCTAGGAAGATACTTTCCTAGGATCTGATAGAGACAAGGCTGAGAAGGCAAAATAGTCTGACAAGGTCTCTTCCTTGATGCTGAAGGGATCTTTGATGTAGCATCTTTCTAACAGAGGGAATCACTTCGTTTCCTCTCTTGATCCTATAGTTCTGGGTCTCCTAGGAACTTACTTGGAAAGATAACATCTAAGCAAAGAGGAAAAAAATGATACAAAAGGCCTGAGCTGGTCTTGGTGCCGATCCCGGTGCCTTCTTCAATGAAAATGGCTCCTCTTCAGTGTTCTGCTTCAGACTTCCAAGACTGCTCATATCTGAGCTAGGTGGAATTAGAGTCCCTTTACTTGCAAAGTTTGCAAGGCAGGAGACTTCCTCTGTCTTTTTAAGGTCAGATTCAAAGCAGTCCTTCATTGCTGTTTATCTCATCTTTTTTTCTCAGCACACACTTGAGGTCCTCTATTGGTCTGTAAGTTAAGTTTGGAGATGAAGTTTACAAGTATTTTTACCTGGCAATGGTGGATTTGTTCTACTTTCACCATGTATACTGTGAACTGAATTTCCCAGAAAAAAAAAAAGAAACCAAAAAAACCACATCTCTACATTAAAGATTCCACATGGTTGAAAGATTGGTTACAATGTGATTGTCCAGAATTAGGATGTTGCAGATACAGAGTGAAACTGTCTTGGGCTATGTTGACTTGTTTTAACATTCACTGTCTGCCTCTATGTCTGACCTTGTATCCCTTTAACTATCATGTAAAAGTGTTTGGAAAGTATTAACAGACCACTAGCTCCTACCCACCCCAAAGCTAGGAATTTTTAATCAAACATATCTGAGAATGTAACAGATTTCCTCGCTTCGCTGTAATCTGCCTATCTGGTGTTTCCACCAGTGTATTTGAAAAATGCCTTGCTTTATGGCTTTCTGTTCTTCTGTAGCTTTTATAAGAGCTTCATGAAACTATTTCCATATTCCATTCCAAATACGTCATTCGGGGCATCCTGAATGGCATGTTCCTGAGCCAAAGTCTATTCACCACAAGAATAAACCATCTTTTCCTCCCTTTGAGTGGCAGGTATTTTGCCTTGACAGTACATTACATGTGAACAAGTGGAGTGAGTTTCAAAGAACCAGGAGGTAGAACCAACTGATGGGTGGACAGACAGGAAAAGGAAGGACACATAATAATAAAGATTGCCAACTTCGGGCTTCTTCCTCACCACTTTTACCTGTGACAAAGGCCTGGCAGGCATGCTTTTTCTTAGGCCAGCAGTTCCCACTCCACGCCTTCCAGTGTGGTCAAAGCTGGTCTGGAACATGTTTACCTGAAGCTATGGGCCTGTTAGCTCCTTTCTTTCCATAAGTTGATCAAACTGAAATGGAAGGAGTGGGGGGCAGATCCTAGGCCACCAAGAACACTTACCACCCTCAATCCCCGTGTGTGTGTGTGTGTGTGTGTGTGTGTGTGTGTGTGTGTGTTCCTTCTAATAACATTTGACCTGTCGCTGCCTGCTAAGTTTGAGTTTTTTCTGCTTTTAGTTCTGCCCCCCTCTCTCTCTGAGCTTAATTAAAATAAGTGTGTATGATTCCATGCAGACCTATTCAGCAACTAACCTCCTTCTCTCTCTAATTCAGCTGTACTTCATTGGCCTTTCTTTGGAAAACATGAGCTATGGTGTGGTGTTTCAATATATTGTAGAGCATTTGTAAACGCTTCAAATCTTAAATACCTTATGCAACTAGAGAAATAGCATAAACAACCCAGAACCACAGATCCAGAATGTGTTTTCTTCAAGACAGCTGACTCGGTCTTTTCAAAGAGCTAATATTTTAAAAAGCAAAAGAAATTGTTATGGCTTGACAAATGAAGAAAACAAAAATAAAATACAAGCACAAAACAAATGGCAAAAACAAAACAAAACAAAAACAGACCAGTAAACAAACAAGCCAACTAATCCCAGCAAACCAGCTAATGCTGGAAGTGATCACGTTGCAAAAAACAATGATGATGATGATGATAATAACAGTAGTAGTAATAGCAGTGATAATAGTATGAAAGATCATCTGAGACTAAGAACTTCTGAATGCCGCCCAGAGTTAGGTAACATTAGTAGGTAAGTTACTCTGAGGTTGGTAACACTATTTAGATTAGTTAGGCTAGTCTTTTGTTTTCACGGTGGCTATTTCCTTATGTGTTGTTTTGCTTGCAATTTAGGGAGAAACAGCAAAAACAAACTATTCACAAATAGTTTACATACATAGGTACGTCAAACATGTGCAGAGGTCAAGTATTGGATTGTCGAGTTTGTTACTGGGTAGTATTGATGAATTAGGAGTGTAAACGAGGTTTCATTGTTTTTGCCGCTGTTACTATGACATCACCGCCAAGCTAGAGTTACTGCCCCTTGAAAGCACCGGAGTCTCGCGATACCCTGGCTGGAGGAGCGCGCCGCGGTGGGCGGGGTAGGGAGAGCGAGTAACTTCCGGCCGGGCCTCTGTCCGGGTGGCGCGGCCGGGTCCTCGCGGGTCTCGCCGCCTCTCGCTTCCACGGCCTCCCCCCCGCCTCGTGCGGGGGGCTGGGCGGCCGCGGGAGGCCACTCCGACCTTCCCGGTGCGTGCGGTTCGTTCAGCGCCGTGGCTGTGTGCGCGGGGGCCCGGGGGTCTGAGGGCCTGCGGCCTACCCGGGCCCGCCGCCCGGCTCCATGAGGCACAGCCTGACCAAGCTGCTGGCAGCCTCGGGCCGCGACTTGCCCAGCCCCCGCGACAGCCGGGAGCCGCCCG